TGTTGTTTTGTCAAGGTCTCACCATGTAGTCCAGGCTGGCCTCAAACTCAGCACTCTCTGCCTTACCCTCCCCTGTTCTGGGATTACAGGCCTGTGCCACTGTTCCCAACAGTTGATATGTTCTAAATAAAATGTAATTTGTTTTTAGAATCCAAATGTCTTCTAGCAGTTTCCAAAGTTTTAGCAATTTTGATTTTTAAATAAAAATTTCATATGTGAAAGCAACATGCAGTGTTATCCATTTACATGGCCTTAGTGATTCATTAACTGCTTTGTTATCAAAAAGTCATTTACTCTTTCTCTCCATGTGTACAAGACAGCATAATCCAACCCCTAAGCACAGACTGATTGTTGGGAACATAGAGAGGCGGTTCTAGTAGAACCTAACCGAAGTGAGGCAGTAGGATGTTTGATATTCAGACAGACATTGCCAGTCCTGCAGATGACCCACTATTGTTATGGACTACTGGACTATACTGGAATGCTTTGCTGAATTTACACACCTACAATATTTAAATGTCAATGGAATACCCTTCTCTGACAAAACTAAACAAAAAAGGGGATACAAATGAACCACTATTTTGTGTCTGTATACTCAAAATAGTTAGGATAGATATACAGCTGCATTCTCTTAATTCAATGAATAGAGAGATTTGTTCTAATAGTTTTTAGGGACAGGATATCATGTCTGCATCTTGTACAGTGAATAACCACTAAGATAACAATATGCAATGTATTAATTATTGAAACTGTGCTAGTAATCAGTCTTGAAACTGTCACATTGTTATTTGTTTCTCAATAAAATTATTTAAAAAAAAAAAACCAAAGTGAGGCAGGATAAGATTCTATAGTGAAAGTTCCTGAAAAGCAGCTTGTTCTCACGCTTTCCTGTCCTCAGCCTCAGAAGACTGACTGTTCTAGGTGCACCTGAAGCTAATGTGTAATGAGTAAGCTACAAACCCTTCCACACTTCTCATTTTCAAAGCTGTGAACTGTGAGCATAACCCTGAAGACGGAAAGCCTGCCTGACCTTGCTGCTGACCCCAGGCTTGCTCCCAGGACCTTTCTGGTTTTAGAGTAGATGTGTGGTGAATACTTCCTCATCATGCATTGGTGAAGACAGATCATTAAATCAGAAGGGAGGTGCTTCACACTTCTCTCCCCTTTCATCAAATTTCTCTAAATATTTAATTTTATCTTATTTTATTAAAGAATGCAAAAGGCAAAGTGAACTACATAATATATTTTAGAAAGAATATAATGAAATAAGTTGGCAAAGTTTTAAATTACTGTACTGTGCTTGAAGAAATGCTGTACTGGGCTGTTTTGTTTATTCAGTTGTAGAAAGGATTTTTCTTTGGTTATTCTTAAAGCATATTCTAAATTGGAACACTAAGAGATTTATTGAAAAGCCAAAAGTTCAAACAGTGTTTTTACATATTTATATGACTATAAAGTGAATATATGGAGTGTTTTCCTATGCCTCTACTTGAGCCTGCAAAACACATGGCCCTTTCTGATGTATTAAATACTGAGACAGAAGACAGGGTGCTAGGGTTCTGTCTCTTTTCCATAATATGGCTTGGTAGAGGAATATGACTCTCCTAGGTTTCCTGGAATGTTTGGAAATTTCTCAATCTAGAGAGTGAATTTTGTTTCACATCTTTCTTTTACTGGATGTTTTAGGTTTTCTATACATTTTAAGTTTTTTTAAACTTAGGAAATACCAAGTAAAAGTTTTAGTGACATATGGTTGTTTCAAATTTCTTGTGAACTACTATGAAAAAATATGTTGCTCACTATATATTTTTAAAATAATTTTATTGAGAAAGAAGTAGCAATGAGATGGTTTCAAAACAGGTTAGTAGTACAGTTACAATGATTAATACATTGTATATTGTTGTCTTTGTAGTAGTTATTCATAGTATAAGATGCAGACATGATATCTTGTCTGAACACTATTAGTTCAAAACTTTCTTCTCATTGAACTAAGAGAAAGTAGCTGTATATCTAT